TCTATCCCTCTCCCTTCCTCTCTGTAAAAAATCAATAAAATATATATTTTTAAAAAAGAGAGAGAGAGAGAGGACGTGGCGGAAAGTGGCAAGGCCACAGGAAGAACAGGAAATGTTGTGGCCACCTTCGGGAAACACAGCTGCCATGGTCTTCAGTAACTATGAACAGATAATCTTTGGTCTTTGTTCTACCGAAGAGGAAGCTGAGACTCAAAGAAGGAAGCCTTCCACAACACACCACCCACTTCTCATACCTGAGTCTGTGCAGCATTGTTTTCATTGAAAGTAGAGGATCCAAAATGTTTTCAGACATTTGCTATTTTAGGCAGGAAAGAATTTAGCGCAGGGAATTGATGTTTGGGAAACCATCGGAAAGCTGGAAGAGGGGGTATTAGGCTGGGCCCCCAGGAAAGACTCCCTGCCCAGTGGGAGGAGCTGCCCCCTCAGCCACAACTGAATTCCAGGACACTCTGGCACAGCTGTGACCCTGGGATTGAGAAACTGTTGCCCCCACAAGTGCCCTCCAGCTCCCACAAAACAGATTACTGGGCACTGCCTCTGCCACAACTGCCTGTGCACAGCCTGGATTCTGCTGCAGAAAACCTCCACATCTCTGCAAACATGATCACCAGCAGCAAACAGCCCAAACTGTGGGAAGACGCTCTGCCCCACTCCTGCCTTCAAAATATTGTGCAAGTGCATCCATTCGGCAGAAACGAATTCAGATCCAGAAATCTAGCTACAAAGGAGTTTGGGCAATTTCAGACTTTAGTCTAGGAGTGAGATCTTGCTAATGTACCTCATATGCCTGGTATTGATAAAAATGGGCCCTGGCTGGTGGGGCTTAGTGTTTGAGCATAGATCTATGAACCAGGAGGTCGTGATATGATTCCTGGTCAAATTTCGGGCTTGATCCTAAGTAGGGGCCTGCAGGAGGCAGCTGATCAATGATTCTCATCATTGATGCTTCTATCTGCCTCTCCCTCTACCTTCCTCTGAAATGAATAAACATTTTTTTAAAAAATGGGTCATGCTGTATATATATGTTATAATGAGTTTTTCACTTCATAGATCACTAATGTCTTTCCTGTTAAAACCATACTTAGAGAACATTATTTATTTATCATTCATTTTAATTGATCTCAGAGAGAAGAAGGGAGAGAGAGAGAAACATTGTTCCATTGTTTCCTGAACTCACTGGACTGGGTATTGAATCTGCAACCGGGGCATGTGCCCTGACTGGCAATCGATCCAGCACTTTCTGGTGTATGGGACGATGCTATGCTAGTACCCTGACCCCGAATTCCAGCCTCCAGAACTGTGAGAAAAATACATTTCTGTTGTTTAAGCCACTCAAATTTAAGATATTTTATTATGGCTGTCTGAGCTTATTAATCCTATATAATAAAAGCCCAGCAACCGAATGGCAGAATGACTGGAATGGCCAGAACAACTGCAGCCCCTCACCCTGGCCAGCCCTGCCCCCAATCGGCCCCCATCGGGGCAGGCCTACTGGACCCCACCAGTGCACAAATTCGTACACCGGGCCCCTAGTATGCTAATGATATGCTAAGGCTGCTCAACCGCTCGCTATGACATGAACTGACCACCAGGGGGCAGACAGTAGATTGGTAGACCAGTTGCTATGACATACATTGACCACCAGGGGGCAGACACTCTGACTGGTAGATTAGCTTGCTGCTGGGGTCTGGCCGATTGGGACTGAGAGAGATGGGCTGGACATGCCCTGGAGCCCTTTTGTGGTCCCTCCCTGGCCATCCAACCTCTCACGTTCCTCCCTGGTCCCGATCATGTACCAGTGGGGTCCCTTGGCGTGACCTGTACCCTCTTGCAATCCGGGACCCCTCAGGGGATGTCAGAGAGCTGGTTTTGGCCTGGTCCCACAGGCCAGGCCAAGGGACCCCACTGGTACACGAATTTGTGCACTGGACCTCTAGTAGCATATAAGTGATGAAAACACACACAACTGTTAAAGTTTTAATAGTGTAGCTGTATCTCATGCTATAATATTCAGTGTAATGTGTTAGTAGTGTTTATGGTGCCCACTTGGGTACCGTCTGTTATAAGTGAAACTAATAATACAGTATGTTTTGTTTCATGTAGTCCACTTTTAGGCAGAATAATAATAGTCCCTTGAAAGATGTCCATTTCTTAACCCTGGATCCTTCAGATTGCAGCTATCCTATATGACGTGGCAAGGGGGAATTAAGATTGCCAATTAGCTAACCTTAAGAGAAGATGTTCCTGGAGTCTCCAGGTGGGACCAGTGTCAACACAGGGGTCCTTTAAGTGCGGAAGGAGGAGGTAAGAGAGTGCCAGAGAGTTGTGATTTAACAAAGGCTCAATTGGCCATTGCTGGCTTTGAGATATAAGAAAAGGACATGAG